GCCCCCCTTCAGAGCTCTTCTGCTTCCTGCCTCTCTGATCCCCAGCTCGTACCCTGCTCCCCTCCCGGCCACCACCATGCACCATTCTGCAGGAAACAGGGGAAGTCCCTGCTGCTGGCACCCCCCCACACCAACCCCTAACCCCCCCCACAGGGCCCTGTCACCCCACCCCACTCCACAGGGAGCTGTGGTGTGCGAGAGGAGACGCACCGTATTCCTGTGAGCTATAAAATACCTGCTTAGGAAAGAAGTCAGTTTCCTAAAGATCACAAGGCTTTTCCAACCCAAGGGAAAGTAGCTTTTGTTATTCTTGTTGTTTTTTAAAAAATATATATTTTTATTAATTTCAGAGAGGAAGGGAGGGAGGGAGAGAGATAGAAACATCGATGATGAGAGAGAATCATGGATCAGCTGCCTCCTGCACGCCCCCCACTGGGGATCGAGCCCGCAACCCGGGCATGAGCCCTGACCGGGAATCAAACCATGACCTCCTGGTTGTTAGGTCGATGCCCAACCACTGAGCCACACCGGCCGGGCGGAAAGTGGCTTTTGGATTGTCCGTGTCACTTCTCTTTAGTGAACATGTCAGAGGTGACATTCCCTGCCTGTCCCATGTGGACTCCCTCGGTCCCCCAACCAGGGGTAAACCAGAGAGCCGGGATGGAGCGCTGAGCGAAGGGCGGGTGGGGGCCCGGAGGGCTGTCCCCTGAGATGAGGGGACTGTGGTCCAGAGACGACGGGTAGGAACCCCGGACCGTTGCAGGGGAACTTCGGCGAAGTGTTCAGCGGGCGCCTGCGAGTGGACAACACCCTGGTGGCGGTGAAATCCTGTCGAGAGACGCTGCCGCCTGACCTCAAGGCCAAGTTTCTGCAGGAAGCCAGGTAGGTGATGACATAAGGGTCACCGCCGCGGCCCCTCAAGGGGTTCCTCTGGCACGGTGACAGAGAGCTTGACTTCCGTGGTGTCATGTCATCCTCACAGACCCCCCGCCCCCCAACCAGGGCAGAGGGGTTGAGGCTCAGTGACCCCTCCAAGGTCACACGTCCCAGCCTCCTGACCTCAGAGGCCAAGCTTGCTCGTCTGCTGCCCTTTCCCGTCCTCCCTCGGGCTCCCTGGGGTTCCCTGGGGTCCCTGGGGCTGGGGTAGGATGTATAGGCCCCCACAGTGGGAGCCTAAGCAGCAGTGCCCGCCAGGATCCTGAAGCAGTACAGCCACCCCAACATCGTGCGTCTCATCGGCGTCTGCACCCAGAAACAGCCCATCTACATCGTCATGGAGCTGGTGCAGGGTGAGCCCAGGGCCAGCTCTCCAGGGGTGGGGACCTCAGCCCCCTGGGTTGGAGCCCCCCCCCCCCCCCCCCCCCCGGGGGCCCCGCCCAGGGCCCCCCCCCCCAGGGGGCGACTTCCTGACCTTTCTTCGGACTGAGGGAGCCCGGCTTCGGATGAAGACTCTGCTGCAGATGGTGGGGGATGCAGCTGCGGGCATGGAGTACCTGGAGAGCAAGGGCTGCATCCACCGGTGAGCGGGGAGCGCCCTCAGGCAGCCCAGCCTCCCCCCCTCACCCCCTCGTAACCTGCCTAGGTTCAGGCCGTGCTGTCACCCAGCACCCCTCATTCACCAGCAGGTCCGACTCCAGCGCTGGGGTTCGCCTCTCCCAGGGCGTGTCGTAGGTTCGCAGTCTTTTTGTTTTTTGTTTTTTTTGGTTTTTGGTTTTTGTTTTTGTTTTTTTTTTCAGAGAGGAAGGGAAAGGGAGAGAGAAATAGAAATATCCATGATGAGAGAGAATCATTGATCGGCTGCCTCCTGCACGCCGCCCCCCACTGGGCAGCGAGCCTGCAACCCAGGCATGTGCCCTTGACCGGAATCGAACCCGGGACCCTTCAGTCCGCAGGCCGACGCTCTATCCACTGAGCCACACCAGCTCGGGCAGAGAGCAGCCTTTGTTCATGGGTGTGTCTGGGGGGCCCAGGTCAGGCCGGTGACAGGTGCCGCGTGGACGGTGGCTGAGTGAGGCCCTTTCCTGCTCTTCCCAGGGACCTGGCTGCTCGCAACTGCCTGGTCACGGAGAAGAACGTCCTGAAGATCAGTGACTTCGGGATGTCCCGGGAGGAAGAGGACGGGATCTACGCCGCCTCGGGGGGCCTCAGGCAAGTCCCCGTGAAGTGGACAGCACCCGAGGCTCTGAACTACGGTAAGCCAATGGCATCCAGGCCTCAAGGGTCAGCCTGGGCGCACCGCCCTCTGACCGAGGACGTGTTGGCCCTCTCACGCCGCCCGCCCCCTTGCAGGCCGCTATTCCTCCGAGAGCGATGTGTGGAGCTTTGGCATCTTGCTCTGGGAGACCTTCAGCCTGGGGGCCTCGCCGTACCCCAACCTCAGCAATCAGCAGACGCGGGAGTTCATCGAAAAGGGTAAGGCAGCCCGCCGCTGACAGCAGCCTCGCAGCCAAGTTTTGGGTTTTTTTTTAAAGATTTTGTATTGAGCCCTGACCGGTTTGGCTCAGTGGATAGAGCGTCGGCCTGCGGACCGAAGGGTCCCAGATTCGATTCCGGTCAAGGGCATGTACCTTGGTATCGGGCTCATCCTCAGTAGGGAGTGTGCAGGAGGCAGCTGATCGATGTTTCTCTCTCATCGATGTTTCTAACTATCCCTCTCCCTTCCTCTCTGTAAAAAAAAAAAAGAAAAAAAAGATTTTGTATGGATTTTTAGAGAGAGAGGAAGAGAGAGGGAGAGAGAGAGAAACATCAATGATGAGAGAGAATCATTGATCGGCTGCCTCCTGCACGCCCCCTACTGGAGATGGAACCCGCAACCCAGGCATGGGCCCTGACCAGGAATCAAACGGTCGATGCTCAACCACTGAGCCACACCGGCCGGGCCCAAGCGTTTGTCCCTGTGCTGCAGGGGGACTCCTCCGGGTCCCCTCACCTTCCGGTCTTCCCACTGGGGCCGAATAAGATCAATCAGTCCTGTAGCTGCCACCGAGTGAGCACAGCAGGGGAGGCAGGAATGAATCTGTCCCTTTTACAGAAGGAAAAACTGAGGCTTGCAGAGGTCATACAACCAGCGCACGGTGGGGTTGCGATTAGGGCCTCTGTGTCCTTGGGGCTCTTGGTGAGGAAGCGTGGCCCCTGAAGAACAGTGCGGTTTGCTCAGTTCCCATTGCTCACGGGTTCAGTTCCCCCCGCCGCCCGGGGCTGCGAGGGGGCCTCAGACTGTGCTCGTCCTCACAGGGGGCCGCTTGCCCTGCCCCGAGCTGTGCCCCGACGCTGTGTTCAGACTCATGGAGCAGTGCTGGGCCTACGAGCCCGGGGAGCGGCCCAGCTTCAGCGTCATCCACCAGGAGCTGCAGTGCATCCGAAAGCGGCATCGGTGAGGCTGGGCCGCCTCTCCAGCCGGTGGCCTCTGCCTGCGAGATTGTACCTCCTGCCCAGCGCCAGCTCCCAGCGCAGCGGCTCTTCACAGCTCTGGACTCCAGGCACCGGCATCCGTGCCCCCGGTGGGGATGCGGCCCCATGTCTGCTGTGCATCGCGCTCCTGCCAGGGCCTCCTCTTCCAAGCAGAAATAATAAACCACTTGTGCCCGCCTAGTGCTCTTGGCATGCGCGCTCCACTGGAGGGCAGGTCTTAGGACAGTGATGGCGAACCTATGACACGCGAACTCATTTTTTTGGTTGATTTTTCTTTGTTAAATGGCATTGAAATATATAAAATAAATATCAAAAATATGTCTTTGTTTTACTATGGTTGCAAATATCAAAACATTTCTATATGTGACACGGCACCAGAGTTAAGTTAGGGTTTTTCAAAATGCTGGCACGCCGAGCTCAAAAGGTTCGCCATCACTGTCTTAGGAGGAGCAGAGGAAGGAAGACGGGCAGTGTTCACGGGGCAGAACCGACGCGTTTCGAGGGGCCTGTGCGGATGTCAGGGTGACGTCCGAGCCAGGAAGCCCAGACGCAAATCCAGGCTGGCACTGGAGGCCTGAACGTCATGAGCGTATCAGTGTGAGAGAGCAGCTGACACTGCGAAGCGTGCATCAATCACATGAGATTCAGGAGAGAGGAGAGGGTCGGGGCAAGTTAGAGCTTCCCTCAGTGGCTGCAGGGAAAGAAATGGCTTCTCAGGGAGTTTCTCTCTCACACACGCTTACTGAGCAGAGCTCTCACCCCTGAGTCCCCCTGAAACCTACAGACTGACCTGAAACTGTACCAGCAGCACCAGGGAAGGTCTAGAAGATGCGAAGTATGAACACGCTGAAAAGCATAAACAGGAAAGATGTCTAGCGCCAAAGAACAAAGCAGAACTTTGAGGCCAAAGGGCCATCCCCCCAAGAAAGTTGAGGAAATAGTTGACGTCTCTTTTCAAAGACATGAGAGGCCTGTAACTTCTTTAAACAAGAGAAACCAGTTCGAGTATGACTCAGTGGCAGTATTAAGAAGTCAAATCATATCTTTATTGGAAATGGTGAAAAGCAGAACTTCTGCTTCTGGGTAGGATGTGGTAGACCTCTGCAGGCCACCACTCTCGTTGCAACAAGGAGGAGGAAACATATAAGATGATAATCGTCATTTTTTTTTTAATATATTTTATTGATTTTTTACAGAGAGGAAGGGAGAGGGATAGAGAGTCAGAAACATCGATGAGAGAGAAACATCGACCAGCTGCCTCCTGCACATCTCCCACTGGGGATGTGCCCGCAACCCAGGTACATGCCCTTGACCGGAATCGAACCTGGGACCTTTCAGTCCGCAGGCCGACGCTCTATCCACTGAGCCAAACCAGCTTGGCGATAATCGTCATTTTTAAAGAGAATGGAGAGTAGTTAGGAGAGAGAAGAACCAGATGAACTAAAATGCCAAGGAGGAAAGGGCCCCGCCCAGGTGAACGCTTGATGGGTGGTTATTTACGTCCCTGAGACATGCGATGAGCAAGATTGTCCTAAACCAGGGGTGGGCAAACTTTTTGACTCGAGGGCCACAATGGGTTCTTAAACTGGACCGGAGGGCCGGAACAAAAGCATGGATGGAGTGTTTGTGTGAACTAATATAAATTCAAAGTAAACATCATTACATAAAAGGGTACGGTCTTTTTTTTTTTTTTTTAGTTTTATTCATTTCAAACAGGCCGGATCCGGCCCGCGGGCCGTAGTTTGCCCGATTTCGGAGAGGAAAGAGGAAAGGAGAAGTGAGCCGTTTCTGTGCTATGGATTGGGCCCAAGAGGAGCCTAAAATGCAAAGCCAGTTTTTCCCACAGAACATTTGCTGAGTTTTGGAGCCATCTAGGCCATTGGGAAGGGGCTGGGCTGGGAAGACAAGTCCCACAGCCTTGCAGGATTTGAGAGGCGGGACCTGAAACAAACCAGTAACTCCCCCTTAAGATATTGGCCAGATCTCGAACCTGTGGGTTGGGAGGCTAAAGAGCTAACCCTAGAATCTCTGAAGAACAGATTTTGAAAGCCAAGAGAGACGGAAACTGGCCAGGCTTTCAACCCCAAATCCAAGAGGGCCACTCCTAAGGGACAGGGACAATCCAGGGGAGGACTGAGAGTTACAGAGCTGCAACTCTGCCCCATCTTAGCTCAGCACTTGACTACTGACTACAACAGAAACAAGAAAAATATCTCGAGGTGACTAGCTCCTCTGGGTTGGGAGGTATGGGTGGGGAAGAGGAAAGGAATAACATAGTGTGGAGTCCCTAACCTTTTTCTTTTCTTTTTTAAAATATATTTTTATTGATTTCGGAGAGGAAAGGAGAGGGAGAGAGAGATAGAAACATCCATGATGTGAGAGAATCATTCATCAGCTGCCTTCTGCACGCCCCCTATTGGGGATCAAACCCACAACCCAGGCATTTGCACTTGACCAGAATCAAACCTGGGACCCTTAAGTCTGCAGGCCGACGATCTATCCACTGAGCCAAACCACCAAGGGCTCCCTACCCTTGTTTTACACCCAATATGCAACATGCAAACAAAAATTATAAAATGTGCAAAAGAAATAAAGAAAAATGGGGCCAACACATAAGAGAAAACATAAACAACAGAAGCAAGACCACAGATGATCCAGATATTGGAGTTGGCAGACGACGATTTTAAAAAACTGGTTAATTTGTTAAATGGGGTAGGGGGAGGGTGGACAAAATAGAGGGAAATATGGAGACTTTTAATAGGGTTGTAATTTACTTAGAATCAAAGGAGCAGATAGAACCGAAAAATGCCATCCCCCAAATTACAAACTCATTGGATGGGTTTCATAAAAATTCATAGAACTAAAGTCACACTTCTAGAGATTGAAGACAGAATTAGTGAACTTGAAGACAGATTAATAGAAGGTGTCTAAATTGAAGTAGAGAGAGAGAAAAAAAAAAAAAAGAAGGGGGGGGGGGGTAGGGAGCAGCCTAAGGCACAGATGGGAATGCATTATACGAGTGATTGGAGTTCCAGAAGGAGAGAGAGACGTTAGGACCAGAATAAACTGACAACGACTCCAACAGGAATAAGAAAGACCACTGATACACACATAACACTGATGAATCTCAAAGACGTTGCGTAAAGAAGTCAGACATGTTCGAATCCCACTTCTGACACCAAAAAAAAAAAAGGCAGGCATGAAGGCGTGCATACTTTCCATCCCATTTCATGAAGTTCAAGAACAGGCAAAAACTAAGCAATAGAGAAGTCAAAACAGTGGTTATGTCTGAGGGGTGCTGCTGACGGGAAGGGCTGTGAGCATGGAGGGGCACAGCTCCACTGATGTCCTTGCAGCCCTGCAGGTCTCTACATGGCCTTGTGGGCCAGGCTTGAGCAGTCTGCCTGGCGTCCTGACAGTCGAGAGAATGTGCTACAATTACTCGTGGAGCAAGGGGACACGCAGCCATATTTAACAGTTGGTGACAGACCGTGGAGACTGGCCCACTCCTTTTGGGGAGCCGTCATGTGCCTAGTAGTATCAGTCACATCAGCCCTTATTTTTGGCCCAGGTAACCTCACTCCTGCGAAGCTGTCCTAAGGTCATTATTCAAAAAGAAGTCAAATGTGGAATTAATGGAGATATTCATTGCAGTATGACTTATTCTGCTTCAAAATCACAAAACTCTGCCCGGCCGGTGTGGCTCAGCATTGACCTATGAACCAGGAGGTCCCGGTTGGATTCCTATCAGGACACATGCCCGGGTGCAGGCTTGATCCCCAGTGAGGGGCGTTCAGGAGGCAACCGATCCATGATTTTCTCTCATCACATGTTTCTACTCTCTCTCCCTCTTCCTTCCTCTGAAATCAATTTTAAAAATTAAAAACAAAAAACACACAGCCCTAACCAGTTTGGCTCAGTGGCTAGAGCACTGGCCTATGGACTGAAGGGTCCCTGGTTCCATTCCGGTCAAGGGCACATGCCCGGTTTGCGGGCTCGACCCCCAGTGTGGGGCGTGCAGGAGGCAGCCGGTCCATGATTCTCTCTCATCATTGATGTTTCTATCTCTCTCCCTTCCTCTCTGAAATCAATAAAAACAATTTAAAATATTAAAAAAAACACACCACAAGATGACAAAACCCAGACGCCCAGTAAAAGGAGAATCGCCCAGACAACTATAGGATGTTTTAGTCGTTGGGTGGCGAGCAGGGACAGGACAGCGGTGGGTGCCCCGCACCGACAGGAGGCAGCACCCGGCCTGAGAACGTAGCATCAGCATCAGGTTCTCCGGGCGGAGCCGGGCGGCGGGCCGGGGCGGGAGGGGGTGCTCC